GTAGTCCCTCGATGACCCTCAATGTTTCCTTCAGTAAACGATCTAGTCCCTAAACGATATTGCTAAAACGTCTCATAGGTTACCTTCTATGATTATACAAACTTCCCATGCCCGTCCCTTCACGTCCAACGATGGGGCTTCTTACCAAATCATTGGTAAGATAGCAACACCTAAAGGAGGAGAAAAAGAACATTTAAGACCTTTTAAGTAGGTAGGTTGCTCGCTTGCTCACAACAAAAACATTTTATACACCAACACTCTCATCTTGAAACATTTTCAAAAGACAAACACTTTATACGCGTTCTTATATAAACGAGAACCATTACAAAGGCACCTTTTCAAAATCACTTTCAAAAACACATTCCACAAACACCTCTTTGAATTATTTTCCAAACAACACTTTGTACGCGTTCTTATAGAAACGAGAACCATTACAAATACATTTTTAAAATACTTTCAAAACCCACACCACAAGCATATTTTTCAAACAAAAGCAAGTGATCTAGCAAGCAACTAAGAGCCCGTAGATAACTACGGATGAAAAGGGTGCTAATACCTTCCATTTTCATAACCTACCCCTCGAACTCAAGAAACATCTCTAAAGGTCTTTCTTGTTCTTTTCAGCCTTTTCTTTTGGATAAAAGAAAATTCGGTGGCGACTCTTGCTATCCGCAACAAATGCGATCAAACACAAAACACCCAAGTCAGTCCTTCCACCGCGTTACAGTAACCTTGGACATCGTTCCCATAGTCGAATATAATATATTGGACAAGCGCGTCATGAGAACCAACCCTCCGAGCATACCCAAACTGTCGTAGAGTCAAGCAAGGATTATAAGTAATACTTCCACTAATACCAAGGAGAGGGACATTAGGGAATTCCCCACAGAGATCAATAATGGTAACATCCTCCAAAGATCGAGAACACCAATGAATATCCGAATGTGAGAGTGACATCAACCTACTAGACCATCTCATGCCTTGCTCATTCTTCAAAATAGATCGAGAAAGGTGCAAAATAAACCACTTAGCCAACAAAGGAGTGCAACACATAAGAATCCCTCTTCTCTTCATGGTACGAGTGTGAAGAGAGTGCAAAGCGTCTCCGAGTAAGGTAGGCACCAGATTACGAGATAGAAAAACTTTGACCGCATTCACATCTATGAGTTGGTCTGGGTTAGGAAACATCACCATCCCATAGATTAGAAGAGCCAAAACCTCTTAAAAAGCATGCAAATCCAGAGCCTCCCAAAACAATTGGGCCTTCTCAAACAAAAACTTGGCTAGAAACCCTTTAACACCACTTCTTGTTTCCCAATTTTCCACAACCTCAGACTGTTGCAAATGTAAAGCTCGAGCAATCTCCTTAGGTCTTGGATATTTCTCAATACCACTGAAGGGTATTTAATCAAGAATAGGCACCCCCAAGAGTTGAGAAAATTCTTCCATGGTAGGAACTAGTTGGTAATCAGGAAATGTAAAGCAATGATGCTTAGGATCAAAGAATTGGAAAAGCACATGTACCACATCCTCTTCAAAGTTTGTGGTAACCAAGTTGATAAGACGATCATATTTATTGGTGAACGGAGAATCATTGGGAACCCTTGATGCTAATTCTTTAATTTGAGGCATCGGTGTTTAGGAGATGGCTTGACCTAGTCAATACTTGTGCAAGCTTGAATCATAGAAGATCTTTGTGGAAAATATCTTGAGAAAAGGGAGGAAAATTTTTGGGGTACAACAGTTGCCCCTGTTCAATCTTCTTAAACCTGAAGAGTTAGATTGGCGGGTCCGCCATTCGTGACTTGAAGGTGGAAGATGATTGAACACTAGGGTGCCCAAAAAATTTGTATTTGATGATGTGTTGGTTGATCGTGTCGGGAATGGGCTTAAAGATGCCATTTGGAGAGGTGATAAAGAATTCAACGAAGATGGGCTTACAGATGCCATCCAGAGTGACTGTTGGTAGAAATTGGAAGAAGTATTAGAATAAATCTTTGGTCGATTTATACTGAAACAGTAGATGTCTTTTGCCTGTTTTTAATTAGAAAAGATAAATCTAACCATAAGAGGTCCGTTGTTTGGCGAATTCACTTGGGAAATAATCTTAGCCAGAAGAGATTTGTTGATTGCCTGTCATTAACTGGTAGAGATGAACCTAACTAGAAGAGTTCTATTGAATACCTGTCATTAATTGGAAGAAACAATTCTAACCAGAAGAGGTTTGTCTGTTTGCCTATCATTAACTGGAAGAAGTAAATCCAACCAGAAGAGGTCTTCACCTGCCTTTCTTTAATCTGGAAGAAATAAATATAACCAGAAGGAGTCTATTGAATACCTGTCATTAACTAGAAGAAAAAATTCTAACCATGAGAGGTTTAAGCCTATAGTCGAAAGACAAAGAGGTCTATTGCCAAGTTTAAGTCTATGGTCGAAAGACAAAGTGGTCGAAAACTCAAAGTTTTGAGAATTGATGGTGGTGGAGAGTATGTGTCAAAAGACTTCGATAGGTTATATGAAAAGGAAGGGATTGTGCATGAGGTGGTGTCACCCTATACTCCACAGCATAATGGAACTACATAAAGGAAGAATCGAACCATCATGAATATGGTGAGAAGTATGTTGAAAGAAAAGAATTTACCTAAAGAGTTTTGGGGTGAAGTTGTGTCGACTGCAACATACATTTTAAACAGATGTCATACGAAGAAGCTAGAAGGAATTACTCCAAAAGAATGTTACTCCATCTGAAGGTATTTGGATCTATTGCACATAGACATGTGCCAGATCAGTTGAGAAGAAAAGTTGATGACAAGTCGAGTCAAATGATTCTAGTTGGATATCAATCGGCGGGAGGTTACAAGTTGTTCGACCCAGTGAATAAGCAGATTGTGATCAGCAGGGACGTGATCATAGATGAGCTTAAAGAATGAGATTGGACTGAAAATGTCAAGAACGACTCAGTGGGAATCCTACTTGAAGAACTAGAAACTCAAGTCAAAAGAGAAGCAATAGTAATTGCTTATATTATGTCTCTATGTCGATGATTTGTTGATAACAGATAGCTGCAAAAGTGAGATCAAAGACTTAAAGGTGATCTCAGCAAGGAATTCAAAATATCTGATCTGGGTGAGATTTCATATTTCCTTGGCGTCGAATTCTACAAGAGCAGTAGAGGTTTGATGATGCATCAAAGAAGATATGCAGGAGAAATTCTCAAGAGATTTGAGATGAAAGAATGTAACTCAACTTCGACACCTGTAGAACCAAGACTGCAACTGTTGAAAGATGCAGATGAAGATGATGTCGACCCAATCCAATACAGAAGACTTATTGGGTCATTGAGATACCTTTTTTCATACAAGGCCTAACTTAGCATATAGTGTAGGTATGGTAAGTAGATTCATGCAGAAGCCAAAGGTATCACATCTAGCAGTAGTGAAGAGGATACTAAGGTATCTCAAAGGAACTCTCGACTATGACATTTTGTTTCCTGTAACTGATAAAGGAAAAGAATGCAAGTTAGTGAGATACACTGATTCGAGTTGGTGTACTGATGCTGAAGATCAAAAATCAACAGTATGGTATGTGTTTATGTTAGGTGGTGCACCCGTTGCTTGGAGTTCAAGAAAGGAACCAGTAGTGGCATTATCATCATGCGAAGCATAATACATAGTTGCTTCTCTTTGTGCATGTCAAGCAACTTAGATGGTGAACTTGGTCGAAGAGATACAGGGAAAGATCATGGAGCAATTACCATGAAGATTGACAGCATGTCAGTTATCAATCTGGCGAAGAATCTGATAGCACATGGTCGAAGCAAGCACATCGAAATAAGGTTCCACTATCTTCGAGAGTAGGTAGCAGATGATAAGATAAATTTGGAATACTGCAGAACTGAGAATCAGATTGCAAACATCATGACGAAGAGAGTGCAACTCGATAGTTTAGACACAATAAATTAGGTGGTGTGTTAAATTGTAATTCAATTGTGTCGAAACAGTGTGTGTCGAAGGGAGGTTGTTCAGTCGGAGAGCTTGTGGATCGAAGCAAGCTACATATTTCATTGATTTTAGATTTAGATAAATTTGATTTAGATCTAAAATAGATAGATTTGATTCAGTTATCAATCTGGCGAAAAACCTGATAGCACATGGTCTAAATCTATAAATAGAGGGAGTAACCCATAATTTTGTAATTAAGTTAATTCATTGTAATCACAGAATTTGCAATTGCAAGTGATTAATAAAGTTTTCCACAATTTCTTTTCTTTTCTTTTTTCATAATTCATTGTCATTGTGTGGATATCAATCTTATTCATCAAGATCAATAGAAATTCATCATATATTTGATGGCTTTTGACCAAGCATTGGCCCTAAAAAGGGCAACTGATCAAGGCAAATGAGTGAGACATGACCATCAAACAATAGAACAAATAATATTTCAACAATCCTAGAGACTTACTATAAAAAGAGAGGTACAATCAAGCAAGATACACAAATTTTACCCCTAAAATACCCTCTTACTATCTTGAGTGTGAGAATATTTGTAGATACCACCTCTAATATCAACAAATTCGCTCACCGCTAGATCCAAGTCACTCATAACCCGTGTGCGCAAATAGTTTCGAACAAGATCATAATATAAACACAATATTAATTGGATTTAATTATTGTGTTTTTTTAAAACCTTGAAAAGGTTAGAGATTACATGAACTAGCAATGACAATACACTACATAAACGGGAGTGTCATGCTTACTCTTACAACTAAATTGGTCACCTACACTACATCTAGCTAGCCATTATTGGGTCTTGTTTAGAAATTGGTTTCTTCTAGCCATTAATGGTGCTGAAGAAGCAGTAGCTAATAATGGTTTCTTCTAGCCATTCAGAAGCTTCTTAGATTTTGGGGGCATATTAATTAAAGCAGATATACAAGAAGCCCTTTGTGTTGATCTACTGCTTTCCAACTGGAAATTGGACGTTCAACATGTCAACTATGCTCAATTCTGGAAAAACTCTTGAGGTATTGATGAAGGGCAGTACTTCTTGGCCACATACTTGTACTGAAAAACAAATAAAGAATCAGAAACATGTTAACAAAACAGATTGGAAAGTATGTGTGTGATTAAAATGTAATGGTAATAGGAATATGTTACCTTGTGCTGATTGTATTTCTCCTTAATTGCGGGCAAGTTAGAATTAGGGCTGTTGCAACAAAGACGATGGAGATCTTTTACACAAGCACACAAATCGGATGTCTGGTATTGAGTGTAATGCTGCAATGTTGGATTCTGTTGCAAGAAACACAACCAGCAAAGTTAAACAAAGCAAATGTTTAACTTCTTAATGAAAATGGCTCACATATTCTTTGTCATTAGCAACTTACCCATGGTCTCGTTGAAGGGAATAGCATAAATTTTGCCAGGAAAATTGAAGAAGCTGCTATAAGTGATGGAGCATAACAAAGCATACTGTACTCCAACAGGGATAATTCGGCAATGTAGTTGGTCAAGCACTCTAGTTGCAGTGAAGGAACCTGAAATGCAAATAAAATCAATAAAAAGGGGTCAATAATTTAGAAATGGAATCCTAATAAATGCTCTTGTTTGAAAATCCCCATCTTAAAGTAGAAGATAGTACCTCATCAATTCCTTGAGCTGCACGTACAAATCTTCTCAGGAAGCATTTAACTGTTGGGGCAGTCATTTCAAATTTCAAAAAATTTAAGACAGTAGATTCCATCTGCAAAACCTGCATGACATGATTTGCTTGAGATTTTTATGTTTCAAAAACTGTCAACAAAACAAGTAACTAAAAAATGATTTCAACACAAACCTCTTCCTTGAAGTATGTGTTATCAGTTATGTAACAAAATTCCTCCACCTGAGGTGCACAAATCTCCTCATATTTACTGCCAACAAGAATAAAAAACAGTTAATTATGAATTCATGCCTATATTGCTATTTAAAAAATTCAAAAGTAAGAAGCATTTATCAGAAAAACAATATGAAGTTGTTGGCTTCCTTACGAGGCAATCATCATAGAAGCAACTCCAAGTAATTGTAATTGTTGCCTATTCATGGCATTCCCAGAGAGATACCGGTCTATGTAGTTTACTGTCAAATACAATGTATCTGGTACAAGTCTATACTCTTCAGCCACCTGCAGTTGGAAATAGATATAGATATTTAGTACATAAAGAGGTTTCATAATGAAGTCACACAGAGACGTGTTTTCAAAAGTAATGTATGACTTGTATGTGTTCTCAATGGCAAATTGCAATGTACTCCAATTCCAAAAATACTAATATCAGTTTTGAACAAAACATGGATCAAATTTCAGGAATTGGTAAAGTTCACATTACTATAATTGACTATCTATAAAACATTACCTCCACTAGCCAGTCAATCAATATAGCACGCATGCTTGGATTTATATCCTTCTGAATCTTCTCCATGAAGTTTGTGGCTGGTCTTTTCTTTGCCTGAGATTCCAGAAAATCATATTTATAGTATTAAACTCCAAATCATTACCTTAGGCCTAAACTAGAATGTGCAAACACAATAGAGATCATTATTGTTAAGAGGGGAAACGAAATTATACCTCAGAAGCACGCAAATGCTTGTAGATATCACAAGCAAAAGAAGCACAAAGCTGAGGATCCACATGATCATCATCAATATCAACAATCTTCTCCCCCTTTTCCAACTCAACAAGAATATCTCTACTACAAACATTACCTGCAAACAAATCAACCAACACCATCATCACAAAACACAGTAGCAAAACCAAAAGGGTAACCAAATAATCACAATTCACAAGACTATAAAAAACAAAACCGCATAAAAATCCAACCTTTTGGATAATCAGAATCAGAAATGTTAAGACTAGAGTAAGTCTTCCTCTCAATAGAATCAACCGCCGGAGCATCACTGTTATCCACATACTCAATATCAGGACTCTTGAAAGAATCACAAGACGACATTGTCTCGTCCATCGAAACCGACATTCCGTCCGATTTACCGGGGGACGATAAATCCATTGAACTCGAAACCGGAGCATTGAAACTAGTAGGAACTAACGGAATAACAATTTCGGAAAAAGAACTGGAAGTACTACTAGTAGTAATAGCCTTCGGAAAAACAACCGTAGCTGATTTAACATTAGAAAAAGTAGGTTTTTTGTTGCCGGAAATTGAAGGTTCTTTCTTGGTCTTTGCGACTTTAGTTACCTGCAAAAAATGATTAAAAGAAAATCGCTTAATTGCTATAAGGAAGAAGGTGAAAGGGTGAAAGAAAGAAAGAAAGAATGAATAGTACCAGAGTGGATGAGTTACGAGAAGCATTGTGATTGGTGAGGTTTGTGAGAGGAGGACGTTTCTTGGCAGAGGCTAAAGCTTTTCCGGGGATGTTCTCGGAAGCGGCCGTGACGGGAGGGTGGCGTTTGGCCATAGACGACGTCGTTGAGGAAGAAAAAGATGAACGACGATTATTGTTATGACTGGACATTTTCAAAATCGGTTAGAACTCAGAACGATTCTTTAGTTTTCTTTAGTTAGAGACTTTTGAGTGAAAAGAAAGAAAGAAAGAAAGAAAGAAGAGTGAGAGTGTGATTGTTGTGAATGCAATAAATATAGTTTTATTTATATTTATGAGTGACTTGTGAGGCGGGGGGAAGGGGAGGTTTGAAATGAGGGACAATCTGGACCGTTGATCTTAGGAGCGGGGTGGAGTTGTGGGGTCCACTATGGTTCTGTTGTTTTCAAATTGGAGACTAGTACAGTGCAGTTGAAGGAGCTATGGATTTGAATTTGAATTTGAATCAAACGGTCACTGAATCTGTTGTCGTTTATTCTTCTCAATTCCCAACCATATTGCTGGCTACTACTTTTCTGTTTTCTATTTTTTTTTTTTTTTTAAATTGTAAGAATTCAAATTTGTGCATGGAGATGAGAGAGAGTTGAGTTGAATTTTAATTTTAATTTAAATTTAAATTTACATTTAAATATAAAGTATTTCTGGGAACAAAATCTTGAACGATGAAAAATTGAAAATGTTATCTTTGTCATTATATAAAATAGCTGTTCGTATTTAATTAAGTTTCAGTCTAAAAGTGTTTTGTTTTTGTTATTGCATTGTTCGTGATTTGGGGGATTTTGTTTGAAATTTTGTTGATCTTTTAGAAAAGAATGTATTAGGATTTAAGAACGTTTATAGATTTTGTATCGACTACTATTTATAATGTATAGTCCAAAATATAATAAAATAAGATTGGTTCAGTTTGAAAAATATTAACAATTTTTTTTGTTTATAAAGAAAGGTTTAAGTTCAAAAGAAAAAAACACAAATTAAAGAAAGAGGATCATATCTTATTTAATTCGAGGATTTGAACAATATTAGTCAGATCAAGATCAGTAAAATCTAACCGTCTATTAATTTATGAGTCAACTCTACCGGTATATTCGCACACTAGTTAGTTTATCGAAACTCATGATAAATTTTCACTTCATCATAGTTGTCCATCAACTTAAAGATTTGAATAAGTTGTTAGTTGGTTAATTCTTGTGATATAGTTATTTGAGTTTTTTAACATGTTTTTGGGTCTGAGCTATTTTGTTTATATAAAGGGTCATTGTGTTTGTAGTAGTAAGAAACAATAATACAATTTAGTTTAGATAGTTAGTTACGCATAACTAACTCATCAATCTTTTCTCTCTCTCTCTCTTCTTCTTCTTCTTGTTTTCACAAAATTATCTTTCTTGAATCCTTTGTTCCAACAAATTGATATCAAAAGTTTGTTTGCGATTCAGGAGAATCTAATGGCAAACGAATCAACAACATCAACACAGTTTCCAGCAAATCTACAGGTTTTCAAAGGTGAAAAGTATCAACGATGGGTGGTACAAATGAAAGTTATTTTCAGATTTCAAGATGTTGTAGAAATCTTGAATGATGGAATCTCAGAATTGGAAGTAGATGCAACGAAAGCCCAGAAAGCTGTGCACAAAGATCAGAGGAAGAAAGATGGCAAGGCGCTGTTCTTGATTCACCAGTATGTGGATTGTGATGTATTTTAGAAGTTAATTGAAGAAGAAACAACAAAAGGAGCTTGGGAAAAGCTGAAATCCTTGTATGGTAGGGATGAGAAACTGAAGAAGGTGAAGTTGCAGACTTTCAGGAAGCAATATGAGATGCTTCAGATGAAAGAGGATGAATCTATTTCTGCATATTTCTCAAGAGTTATGGCGCTAACAAACCAGATGAAGACGCGTGGTGAAGCGTTAACGGATCTGCAGAAGATAGAAAATGTATTTAGATCTTTAATTGCAGACTTTGATTACTTTGTTATAATAATTGAAGAGGCCAAGAATCTATCTGAGATGAAGTTGGAAGAACTTCAAGCTTCATTGGAGGCTCACGAAATGAGGCTGCAGCAGAGAAACTCAGAAAGAGAGAAGACAGCTGAACAAGCATTGCAATCAAGATTCAGCAAGAAAGCTAGAAAAGAGAAGTCGAAGCAGCGAAAGAATCTTGTTGGTGATGAGAAGTCAAGCAAGAATACTGATTCAAAAAGTGGGAAATAAGTATTTTGGGAAGAAAGTTGACACGAAAGAGGTGCAATGTTACAATTGTCAAGGTTTTGGCCACTATGCTAGAGACTGTCGAAGAAAGAAAGTTGCAAAGTCAAAAGATAGTGATGAAGCTCAATATGCACGAGCTGGAAGTAGTGACTCTGATGATGTGTTGTTGTTGGTGAACACTCAGCCGAATATTGAGAAAAACAACATGTGGTATCTGGATTCAGTATGTAGCAACCACATGACTGGAAATAAAAACTGGTTTACCAAGTTAGATGAGTCAGTCGAAAAGGTGATAAAGTTTGCAGATGGCAGGCATATCAAGTCAGGTGGTAAAGGAGATATTTTGATTATCAGGAAGGATGGTCGAAAGGCTACTATCACTGAAGTTTTATATGTATCTTCGATGACAAGTAACTTGATAAGTGTAGGTCAATTATTTGTAAAAGGCTTCAATATGAAGTTGGAGAATAATCAGATGAAGGTATATAGGGCTGATGAGAGGCTAATAATGAAAGCACCATTGGCGGAAAACAAAATGTTCAGGGTTGAACTCAACACATCAGATCACAAATGTCTTGCTTCAACTACAGAAGAAGACAAGAACTGGCTATGGCATCACATGTATGGACATCTAAACTTCAAGAGTTTATGTATGCTCAATCAGAAAAGAATGGTGTTAGGGTTGCCGTATGTGAAGGAACCAAAACAGATATGTGAGGAATGTTGCAAAGCCAAACAGGCAAGGAAGGCGTTCAAACGTGATTTGCCTATAAGATCAAGGCAAAAACTGGAGCTGGTTCATTCAGATATGTGTGGACCCTTTGAAGTAAAGTCTAATGGAGGTAACAGGTATTTCCTTACTTTCATTGATGAATTCACCAGACATATGTGGATTTACCTTATTGAAAGGAAGAGTGAGGTATTCACACAATTCAAGAAGTTCAAGTTGCATGCTGAGAAACAAAGTGGTTGCAAATTGAAGAAGTTAAGAACTGATGGTGGTGGTGAATATACTTCTGCTGAATTTGCTAGGTTTTGCAATGAGGAAGGTATAGAGCATGAGGTTATTGCAACCTATACGCCTCAGCATAATAGAATAGTTGAGAGAAAGAATAGAAGTGTATTGAACATGACGAGATGTATGTTGAAAGCTAAGAATATGCCTAAGAGATTTTGGGTTGAAGTAGCTTCGACAACAGTATACATTCTAAATAGATGCCCAACAAAGAAGATGGTCAAAAAGACATCGCACGAGGCTTGGACAGGGTCGAAGCCAAATGTAAGTCATCTTAGATTTTTTGGATCAATGTGTTTCAGGCATGTACCTAAACAATTGAGAAAGAAGTTGGATGATCAAAGTGAAGTCATGGTGCTCATAGGTTATCATTCGACTGGTGCATACAAGTTGTATTCACAAATTGAAGATAAACTAGTGATCAGTAGAGATCTTCTTGTAGACGAAAGAAAAGGATGGGATTGGAGTCGAAGTTCAGTTCGACATGAATTAGACACAGTCACAACTGTGTTTGAAGAAGATGAAGAGAACAAAGCTTCGACAAGTCAAAATGAAGAACCACCTGTGAAAAATGAAATAAGATACACAAGAACAAGAACTGAGTCGGCTAGGATGATTGGATATGAGAGGTTTCTAGATCAAGCAATCGATGCAGATGGTGACTTAATCGAAGAAGCCATGATGACGGCTGAAGCAGAACCAATTGATTTAGGTGAAGCCTTAAGCAATTCGAATTGGTGTGAAGCCATGAAAGAAGAACTTAGAGCCATTGAGAAGAACAAGATTTGGGAGCTTGTCAAAAGAACCAACAAGAAACCAATCAACATGAAATGGATCTACAAGGTGAAACGAAGGCCAAATGGTGAGATTGCAAAGTATAAGGCAAGACTGGTGGCCAGAGGTTTTCTATAAAAACCTAGTATTGACTTCGACGAAGTATATGCACCTATTGCTAGGATTGAAACAATCAGAATTGTTATTTCGGTAGTTGCATGTAGAGGATGGAAAATGCACCAACTTCATGTGAAGTCAGCATTTTTGAATGGCCCATTGGAAGAAGAGGTCTATGTTACTCAATCACCAGGCTTCGTCGTCAAAGGGCAGGAGTCGAAAGTTTGCAGATTAAGGAAGGATCTTTATGGCTTGAAGCAAGCTCCTAAAGCTTGGAATAAAAGGATATATATCTTCCTAATCGAAGTAGGTTTCACAAAGTGTGTCTCTGAACATAGAGTGTATGTAAATGATGTCGAAAGTGTCAATCGAATCATTTTATGCCTCTATGTTGATGACTTACTCATTACAGGAGCGGGCGAAGCTGAGATAATGAAGGTAAAGTAAATGTTAATGCAGGAATTCGAAATGTCTGATTTAGGGAATCTCTCCTATTTCTTGGGAATGGAATTCAAAGATGTTGAAGAAGGAGTTTTCTTGCATCAAACAAAGTATGCTCAAGATATACTGAAGAGGTTCAATATGAGCAACTGTAAGGCAGTTGTTACTCCATCAGAGACTAGAGCAAAGCTAAAGAAGGAATCGAATGATGAGTTTGTAAGTTCGACCCTTTACAAACAAATCATTGGATCCTTGAGGTATCTTTGCAATACTAGACCAGATATCTGCCAAAGTGTAGGATTGTTGAGCAGATTTATGGAGAAGCCTCAATAATGTCATCTTATTGAAGTAAAGAGGGTGTTGAGATACATAAAGGGAACTATTGATCATGGTGTGTTGTTACCAAAGAAGTTGGAGAACAGCATAGATGTCGAAGTTCATGGATACACTGACTCATACTTCAGTAGAGATCAAGATGAAAAAAAGAGTACTACAGGATACATTTTCATGATCGAAGGAGCTCAAATCTCTTGGGGTTCGAGGAAGCAAAGCATTGTAGCTTTGTCATCATACGAAGCAGA